TGTGTGTGTGTGTGTGTGTGTGTGTGTGTACTTGTTTTGACTATATTTGTGAGGACCAAATGTCCTCACTTATATTGTGAAATACTTTGACAACCCACTAGTCCTCACTAGTTAAAAAGGCTTACAAATCAGCCAAAGATGTTTTTATTTAAATCTAGTGTTCTGCATATGTTTCTGTGACGGGTACGTTTAGGGGTAGGGGTTGGGTTAGGTGATAGAAAATATCATTAACCTGATATAAAATCAATGGAAGTCTATGCAATAAAAGATAGCGAAACAAACGTGTGTGTGTGTGTGGTTTGTGCACCTGGTTGAAACAGACGCAGAAGTGACTGATAGACATCCTGACAATCTCTCTCTCTTTGGAACAGCAGATGAAGCAGCTGGAAGGTTTTACAGCAGATCAGGAGCGGACAACCGTGTGCAGTTAATGGAAGCTTCTCTACCGACATGATGTGATGATGCAGCACCTTCAAACACATGGGATTGATATATCCACTTTTATCAGACATATCGAGAATGATGTGTATTTCTAAAAGACCCAACAACAGATAAGTAGAAGACTATTACGTATATTGTTCACACTGGCCTACATTACCCATGTTTCTTTGCGTGTGTTGTTGGTTTGTTCCACATAGATAAGGTGAGTAGCAGTCAAATAAAGAGTTCCCAGAACTGACTTCTTTTCAGCGTACCTATTCAGTAGTTTCACATACTCCACCTGCAAAAAAAATCCAGTTAAAAAAGCATCAGTGCAGAATTATTGACTCAACTGTCTAAACTAATAAACAAAGCACTAGCCAGCAAGTCTGTGGGTTTGGATGTGCCCCTCAGGGAGCAGAACCCTTCATCCAGCCTGTGTTTAACACAATGGAGAGGAAATCCTACAGAACCTCTTAAAGGGGTCATATGATGCGATTTCAAGTTTTCCTTTCTCTTTGGAGTGTTACAAGCTGATTGTGCATAGATAAGATCCCTGAAAGACTAAAGTCTCAAAACCAAAGAGATATTCTTTATCAAAGTTAAGACTCTGCCACGCCCCCCTAAAACGGCTCGTTCTAACACGCCCCCACATATCTACCTCACTATGTGGAAATATTTGCATAATGCCGCCCAAATGTGCACACAAAGAAAGAAGGCGTGGTTTCACTGTGACGGGTACGTTTAGGGGTAGGGGTTGGGTTAGGTGATAGAAAATATCATTAACCTGATATAAAATCAATGGAAGTCTATGCAATAAAAGATAGCGAAACAAACGTGTGTGTGTGTGTGGTTTGTGCACCTGGTTGAAACAGACGCAGAAGTGACTGATAGACATCCTGACAATCTCTCTCTCTTTGGAACAGCAGATGAAGCAGCTGGAAGGTTTTACAGCGGATCAGGAGCGGACAACCGTGTGCAGTTAATGGAAGCTTCTCTACCGACATGATGTGATGATGCAGCACCTTCAAACACATGGGATTGATATATCCACTTTTATCAGACATATCGAGAATGATGTGTATTTCTAAAAGACCCAACAACAGATAAGTAGAAGACTATTACGTATATTGTTCACACTGGCCTACATTACCCATGTTTCTTTGCGTGTGTTGTTGGTTTGTTCCACATAGATAAGGTGAGTAGCAGTCAAATAAAGAGTTCCCAGAACTGACTTCTTTTCAGCGTACCTATTCAGTAGTTTCACATACTCCACCTGCAAAAAAAATCCAGTTAAAAAAGCATCAGTGCAGAATTATATATAATAAACAAAGCACTAGCCAGCAAGTCTGTGGGTTTGGATGTGCCCCTCAGGGAGCAGAACCCTTCATCCAGCCTGTGTTTAACACAATGGAGAGGAAATCCTACAGAACCTCTTAAAGGGGTCATATGATGCGATTTCAAGTTTTCCTTTCTCTTTGGAGTGTTACAAGCTGATTGTGCATACTGCCAGCACATCCTGTTCCTCCATCTCTTGTTATTTTGGTTACTGAGTAACAGGCAATGGAACAACATTATAACACAAGATGCCACTTCAGCACTAAGTAGCATTTTCTTTCGAGTCAAAGTCAAATGTATTTTGCTCGTTTATACTTGATAAACTACATGAGAACTAATCTTTTCAGTAAATGATTAGAACAATCTCTTCAGGTCCTTAGGATAGCAAAAGCAAGCTGGCGTACTCTATTGTCTCTATAAAATGAACAGGTTAAATCATGTATTCCAGCAAGACATAAAAGTCAAGGTGAGCCACAGTAGGTCCAATTTACATTGTATTGGTCAATTTTGATGAAGAATTAAACCCACAATTCCTTATTAACACGCAGTGTAGATCTGACTAGAGGTGTCAGCTGCTAATATAGAGACTTCCTGTAGTACTGCTGATTCAACGTGACATCCTTTGAGCTGACCCCTTCATGCTCCCCAAAAACATCCAAAAAGACAAAAGGCTGCAACATTCACCCTTTTGTACTTTTTACAATGCTCATATGACCATATAATGTTATGTAACAAGGGTGCCCCAGAACTGCACATTTTGAAGGTCTCCCTGCCAAGTTCAGGTCTTGGGAGGCTCTTCTAATAAGACGATGTCTATCTTACTGAACTTTATTAACATCTAAAATGGGCACCGATTGGATACTGCATGACCACCAGAACTGAGAATATAATGTGTTACAGCACGTGTCATACTTTAGGCCAGGGGTTTTCAAATTTATATTCAGGGAAAACGTCAAAATGGGGTATGTGGAAAACTTTAGAGAATATATATATATATATATATATATATATATATATATATATATATATATATATATATATATATATAGTACCACAGTACCACTTGGACACATAAATGGGAAAGTGTCCAAACTTTTGAGTGGTACTGTACTATAATATACACAAAGAATATCGGCCGATATATCGGTATCGGCCTTTTTATATATATATATATATATATATATATATATATATATAAAACATTAAATAAATATTACAAATATAATTTAAATAAATAAAAACTACATTCAAGTAAATAAATGCAAACAAACAAATAAGCAAATAAATAAACACAGTACTACAATACTAAAATGAGTAGAAAGCAACATATTAATGTAACTTAATAAAAAATATATATTTTCAAAATAATACTTTAAACATTTTTACTATATATATATATATATTTTTTTTTTTCACTGTATAAATTGGGTCTTTATCCAAGAAACTATAAAGATGCCATCTATATTCTAGGATGGGGTCCCTTGCATTAAGGATGATCATATTTAGGGGTCTGTGGCATCTTAAAAGCAAAGCTTCATAGATGATTTCCTCTGCCTTTTGCCTGCAGGTTCACCTGAGTAAAGTTACATCTGGATTTTGGAAGAAATACTCCTGTACATACAGTAATGAAGTGTGTGAGGACTGAAAACTCCTTCAACTTCATTCATGTTACATTTAGTAACCAACATTAAAATGCATTGGATGGATTTAACAGCAGACCAAATAAAACCAAACAACTCGGGAATCTTGTTAACGAACCCATTTAAACGCTTCATTCTGTATGTTTTTACATCCATCGAGAGTTCAGAATATCGAGTCTGACATAAAAACACGAGATCTGCCAACTTTACACGTGCACGCCTGTTGATTCAGACTTACCTTTGGCGTTATAATGTGCTCCATATTTTCAGTGGCTAATCATTCAACTGTCCACGTTAAACTTTCGATGTTTATGTGTTTAGCGGTTATCATGTTTGTTTCAGGAACTGCTGCGTTCCTCCCTAACATGAGGAGTGGAGTGGACTACAATCATGTCAGGTGACAGGAGCAGATATCGCGATAAGTCGAAGCGCGACGTGATTTCAGGTGCCTACTTATTGTACGGGTCTTCAGCAGCTCTTTCCTGAAGGATGCTGTAATCATTTAACCCACTGCAGTCCGTATATCAACAATAACATATCGATTTAAAATAAATCATGCAAATTACCTTAGTAACACAATGTTAAAGGTAAAAATCAGTATAAAAATATACTTAATTTCCTGTATATTTAAAATACAACTAGCCTGTACATAAAATTGGCAAATACAAGGCACACATTAAAGTTGGCATTTTGGTCATTAATTAAAGTTCAAAAATGAAAGTTGTTCATTTTGGCATGATTCTAGACCTGAGGTTTTCAAACTGGGGACCAGAGGGCTGCAAGTGTGTGCTAGGGGGTTTGTGGAAAACTAGAGAAAAACAGAGTAAAAAAAAAATGCTTTTTAATACATCTAATAGTACAGTAGGCTATTATCGTGAGCAGAAAAAACACAATGTAACATAATAAAAACTACATATTTTTCCAATTATATTTTATACATATTTATAATATTATATTTTCACAGTATTAATTGGGTCTTTATACATTATATATATCTGCCTTTTAAATTTTAGGATAGGGTTCCATCACATGAGGCTGATCATATTTGGGGGTCTGTGGCATCTAAATGATTGAAAACCCCTTATCTAGACAAGCCTAAACATATCTGGAAACTTCATTAAGCCTTACCCAGACACACGCAGCACAGGGAGGCTGCTCCTGCAGGGTGGCCCAACCAGATTTGCCTAATTGCTGGGGAGGACCCCCATCACTTTACCCATTGTCACCATAACGACCTCCTGACCCTTAGGCTCAGTTACTTGATAACAGCACACTAATGAAAAACATTAACATACAGCTCACCCAGCTTAAGTCAAATTCCCTCTCAAATGCCTGCCAATGTCTTGTAAGCACAAAAGCACAAAATACACATGCTGTAGAATCTGAGACAACAGATTGAAGAGCAAAGGTGAGTTTTTTTCAAATCAAGGCAGAGTTTACTCAAGAAATAGGCCTACAGTTGTTACTGCATCTGAATATGCATACTTCCCTACTATTTAGCTAGTAGGCAAAAACAGTAGGCCTATGTGAAAAGAGAAGTATGTCCAAATTCGCATTATTCATAAAAGAGTAGACCAGGATGACCTAATTTCTGACAAGATTCTTAAGTGCGTATCTGATGGACACTTTACTATACCATGAGGCCACAGAAGTGGATTTGCGAATGACAGTGAGGTAACACAACTGATGCTGTAGGTCACATGATAATGACAACATAACAGATGTAGGTCCGGTTTATGTACACATTTTCACACTGTATCCACCGTATTTGCAATGTGGAAGTAATCTGTTTTCTGTGAATGTGCGAGACTTCTGTTTCATTAGCCGCTAAATAATTACAAGAATAGTTAAGTGTAGTAAAACTATTTGTGCAACAAACCAGTGTGTTTATGATTACAATAATCCATTGATATGATATGACAACAAATACCTGTTTGCAGTATATCAAACAGCATAATGGACTGTTTTTGCATGTTTTTGCACATTCACACAGTTACAAATAGCTGCACCCGCTCTTACGTTAAAATAAAAAAAATGATAGGCTGTGAAGTAAGTACTTGTTCAAAATAAGTACCTTAGAGAGTATGCTATTTTGGATGCAGCCCAGGAGTTTGTTATAGTTCTGAAGCACAGGCCTTCAGGTGCTGGAGAAGCTAATGTGTTTTTAGGAATCTCAACCCAGAGTAGAGAATCAGATCAACAAAGCAGACATAAATCAGACCCTTCAGGATAATGATAAAATCTGCAGATGGATCTGAATGCTGTCTAACACTTAACTCAGCTCCATTTGAGCTGTATAATTTCATGTATCTCATTCCCAATGTGAGCACTGCCAGGTTCAGGCATGTCAACATTGAGATAGAAAGGACAGATATGTTTGTCTGATTTTGACTAGCAGGTAGCCTACAAAAGTACCTGTACTAGTATCATAAATGTTATGAAAAGTATAGCATAAATACATTTAGAAACTATAAAATAAAGGATATATTAGTTACTTAGAATCTTATTCTCACAAAGGTACATTTATTTGATCAAAAATTAAATTTTATTCCTGTGATGGCAGCCATTACTTGAATTCCTACAAAAATACAAAGATGTTTTCAGACATGTTTATTCAGCACCAAATTTTAATTTTAGGTGTTAAGGAAGGATATTTAATACAACCTGAAACTAGTTCCAATTTTGTGTCTATTCCACTCTCAGTCTCTCTTTCGGTCCTCTCACTTTCTCTAATTCCAGCTGTCTCTTTTTCTCACACTTCCACTATTTCTTATTATCTCTCTCTAGTCTCCATTTCCAGTTTCTGTAATCCTACTAAATGCTTTTACATTACCAGTTATTTTGTTTTTCAGAAATACATTTACCATCTGGAGCTTGCACACAAGTACATGCATGCACACACACACACACACACACGTTACTCCTGGTCCCAGTCTCTGAGATGTATGCAATTCGTAAGCACCTTAAAGTTAATGACTCAGTCATATTCAATAAGCCGAGCCTGTCACACCCTCAGGAGACAGGCTTTGTTGACCTGATGCTAATGTGTTAGTTCTCAGACAATGGCAATTTACTGTCTTTTGTGTGAGGACTAATCTCTGTCAATAGCGTGACACAATCAGGCTGCAACAAAGATGTAAAATCTGAATGGAGGTAAAAATATGTTCCAATGAATGCTGGAAATTAATGCTGAAGAGATGGATGTGCAAGGATGTTACATGGAATAACCTGCTTGTATTCGAATAAACTGTGGGATTAACGTGTAACGATTAACGTAATGAATTGTGATATTTCTTTACCATTTTAATTACAGCACTAAAATATTAAATATGTAAATTAACTTAAATGATTTTAGCAAATGGCTGCAATATAACAAAGAGTGAAAAATTTAAGGGGGTCTGAATACTTTCCGTACCCACTGTAGTTGAAGGATTGTCTTTTTGGAGGTTTAGAGTTTGATGTTTTCATATGAGTGGGGATACACATGGTATGAACACAGGTTGTGGACAGCAGAAAAAAAAACAATGAAATAAATGGAAATAATAATAAAATGCAATGAACCATAAAATCATAGGAGAAGCAAAATGACTACATCAAGTTAAGGTTTACTTACAGTAAGAATAAACATGTTTTCTTTTATGGCTGCCTAAACCATAAAAGAATCAAAATTCAAGAACGATAAAAAAAAAAAACTTTCCTATTCGTTAATAATGATGCATAATGTTGCAGTTCAAAAACAATACACTTCGATGTTTGATTTTTTTAGGCTATTTACTTTCGTACAGTAAGCATTTCTGGTACTGTTTCTTCACTTCTTCATGTCTCTGAATCTGGATTCTGAAACAAGACTAGTTGAGAACCATGGCATAAGCAGTTCGTTAACTAATGAGCGGTGTTGGGGAAAGTTACTTTTAAAAGTAATGCATTCCAATATTGCGTTACTCCATAAAAAAGTTATTATGTTACTTAGTTACTTTTTATGGAACGTAATGCGTTACGTTACTTTTGTGTTACTTTTTAAATCTGGACAGGGCTTGCTTGTTTGTTTTTAAAATAAAAATGTTATATTTTTGGCAAATATAAAAGCCTTTTCACACCAAAAGTTAAATGAATAAGCCTCAGGCTGAAGGGAAAGTACATTTACGTCCGTACAGTAGAATGCAGAAGAAGAAATTTCAACACACTTCAGCAGTAAAAAAAGACACACAAATGTTCGTCTAGAGTAATTTGTTTATTAGTGGAATCATGGAATTGAGTTGAACTGGATCATCGAAGGTCAGAAGCAAAGACATTGGTTAATAGAATGGGATTAAATACATAAAGGATATTTGTGTTGTTTAACATTTAATTATTGCATATTCTGAGTTGCATTATTTTTATTCATTTTGAGGAATACTGAATCTGTGTTGTTGTTGTTAGTGAAATGAATTAATGCATATTCATATTTATTTTAGAATTACAGTAAC